CGGCGCGTGGCGGGGGGACTGGAGCGGAGGACCGGGCTGGACGGGCAGTGCCCAGGGCTTGGTGGGGGGACTGGAGCGGAAGACCGGGCCGGACGGGCAGTGCCCAGGTCCTGGCGGGGGGCTGGAGGGAGGACCGGGCCGGGCAGGCAGTGCCCAGGGCCTGGCAGGGGGGCTGGAGGGGAGGACCGGGGCGGGCGGGGGGGTGCCCAGCTCCTGGCGGGGGGACTGGAGGGGAGGACCGGGCCGGCAGGTACAGCACCCAGGCCTAGGCCCAGGTGCGCGTGTGCACTCCCCGCTCCCGTGCACACACCTCCAGCGTGAAGGGCACCATGGAAGAAGACGGGCCCGTGCCCCCTGCTGTCCTCCCTCCCCGATGGGACGTGCAGCCAGCGCGCTGCTGGTCAGAGGCCCCGAAATGCCGGATTTGGCCACTGTGACTGCAATTATTTTGGTCTTCAGGGGTTCTATCTGTGACCTTTAGGCAACCCAAGGCTCCTTCAGTGAATCTTCGAACAGAAAACGGATCTTGGGTCAGTCCGAGCGTGGCAGTCAGGGGGCGACGCGAGGTGCGAGTCTGAGCATGCTGCTTGAGGGACGTCGGGCCTCGCTCACTCCTGCCAAAGGCCCCGGGGGGACTGCAGTCCGGCCGCACCTCACGGGCGTGCTCGCTCCCCCGCCTGCCAAGGGTGCACACCCTCTGGCAAGTTCAAAGCCAGAAACGGCAAATAGGGAGGTTCTACCCATGAGACGCCAACTGCGCGGAACTGAAGTGGACAGGACAGACTGGAACTCGACCACCCACTTCTGGGACAGCAGTCACGTCCTCGCCCACCTCGCCTCGCTGGTCCCCACCTTTCCCCAACTTTTCAAAACCAGTGTTGGAAAGGCTTAAGAAGCAGGATCATTCTGCACGTTAGTTAGGAAGGCGTCCTGGACCTAGAGGCCCCATCTGAGCGGCGATGCCAGGTCTGGCCAGGCCCCGCGCGGCCCCGGCTCACCTTGAACGTGAACTTGGAGGCGCTCATCACCTCGATGATGTTGAAGGCGGCCCAGCTGATGTCGTACCCCAACATCTGCAGCTGCGGGGACAGGGCAGGGGTCCCTACTCACGGCCAGGGCACCGCCTCACTGCGCCGTCTGCACCGGCAGCTGGGGCCGGGCACGAGCCCCAGCGTTACGTCCGGGGCGGGGCGGCGGCTGTGCAGGGCGGGCACGGACTCCCATGAGGCCCGGCCTGTGCGGCAGTGGTTCGGCACGATGCATGGGGACCTGGATTCCACGTGGCCGACCACAGCTCAAATCCGAAACCCGGTGGCTGGAGAAACCAGCGTGTGCAAGCGTGCCCCAAAGCCTCATGTGGGGAGGAACCGAGGGAAGGTGGGGACGGAAGCCCTGACTGAGGCTGTGAGGGCCCGCCCGACTCCGACACAGCCCCTACCCTCACCCGGGCAAGGAGGAGCGCGGGGGGCCTGGCAGTAGGTTCCGAGCCGGGCGCGGGCGGGCACTCACGTATGTCAGCTTGCAGACGGCGTTGGCCTTCACGGCGATGTTGTCCTGCTTCAGCTCCTGCTTGATCTCATCGATGCACTGCGAGATGTACTTGGCCTGGACGGGCACAGGCAGCCTGAGCACCGGCCGAGGACCCCGGACACCCACAGGCTGCGGCAGCCCGGGGGCGAGGAGCTGGGTCCCGCGGGACAGCAGCCCAGGCTCCGCAGGTGTGCCCTGAGGGGCCTTCCCCTCTCCCCCAGGCCCCTGCATGCGGCAGGGTGGTTACAGCGCTGGACCCCACATGGACGACTCTGCGGTTCAAGTCCCAGACCCCCGGCTTCGATGACACCCCGTGTATGTGTGTGCCTGTCCACGAGCCCGGGGCAGAATGGAGAGGGCCTGCACCGTGGCCAGCCCACCGCTCTCCCTCTCCTGGTAAGCCCACACGCCCCACTGCAAAGGGAAAAAGATCTGAAAAAAGAAAAAACAAACCCCAAACAGAAGCTAATGGATTTGGGGCAATGGCACGTTGCAGACTGGGCAGCAAAGCCACGCGGCGTTCCCCCGTTGGCAGACACAGTGCGCCCACTCTCCCCCCCGCCAAGTGCCGGGTCCAGACGGGACGAGGCTCGCAGCACCCAAGGGGGCGGTGGGCCTGGAGAGCCCGAGAGGCCGCACGAGGAGCAGGGCGGTCACCAGGGGCCTGGGGACTCGCCTCGGTCGGCCAGTGTGCACACTCCAAGGGCGGCCCGTGCTGCCCGCCCGCAGGGCCCAGGCGGCATAGGGCGCGTCGCAGTCCTGCCCCAAGCCCTGCACGGCCGCGCTGCATACTGTTTGCTGTCACCCTGGGCCACACCCCACCCTGGCCAGAGATCCCAGCCACCACCAGCACTAGAGGGCCTGGACCAGAGGGGCCTGCTGGACGTGTCACGTGCTGCCCTGGCAGGTGTCGCTGCATCTGCCCAGCGGCCTTCACCTTCCCAAGCAGGCCGGGGCCTCGGCTGGCCCTCCTGCTTTACAGAGGACACATGCCGGCGAAGTCCAAGGGCGGGGATGGGGAAGCCACGGGCCACCTGCCACGCAGTGTCCAACCGACTGCGCGGTTCGAGCCGACCGGGGGCCTGCCCACAACCCCGGGAGGACGGGGGCTGTGACATGACTGTCCGCTCTGGCAGTGCCTTCTCACTTCCCTTCTCCCGAATACACACCCTCTTAAAGCAAAATCACAGCTACCTTTTCTTTAATTACTTAACTTTATTGATTTATTCATTTAATTTTTAATCTGATCAGGG